ATTTTTTTTTTATTTTTTATTTATTTATTCATTTTTAAACATTTTTTAATTATAAAATTGTGGGGTACAGTTAAGGGTTAGGTATACAAATGTGCATCATTCAGGCACCCTTGTTAATAAAGGGTGTCTCCCCATCCCCAGACAGATCTTGACTACCGTTAGTCCCACCTCCCTTTCCCTCCCTACCCTCCATAGCTTCCCACCACTGTCAGTCCTTTTCTTATAGTATTATGATAGATATTCAAGGTCCACTATCTGAGTGAGAACATGTGATACTCAGATCTTTGTTTCTGTGAGAGATCACTCAGTATTATAGACTCTAGCTCCATCCAGGTTGCTGTGAAATTCATGTTTTTGTTCTTTTTTATGGCTGTGTAGTATTCCATCGTGTATATATACCACGTTTTTTTAATCCAGTCCTCTTTTGATGGACAGCATGGTTGGTTCCAGGTTCTTGCTATTGTGAGCAATGCTGCAATAAACATTCATGTGCAGGTGTGCTTATTTCTTGATTTGATTATTGACTTTGGGATAGAGCTCTTTAATAGGATGAAGAAAGAATTTTTCATGTCTGGCCTTGGCATAGATAGCTCTTCAAAGGCAATAAGCCTATTTTACCTGAGGGCTCATCTTTTATAAACATTTTATCTAAACTTTGTTCTTTCTTTTAAACCGTAAGTACAATTTCAAGTTACTCACCAAAAGCAATGTCTTAATCAAGGTTATGACTTCGCTACAGATAAACTATACATCTCCAAAGAGGTGTGAAGCAGACTTCCCAAGATATAGTGCCACCTCCAAAGACAAATCAAAGAAAGGAAAGTCTCACTAGTCACAAATGGGATGCAGCCCACATCCATCTGGCCATTTATTTAAAATCGCCTCATCTCAGCTGAGTGTCTATGCCAAATGGCCGAAAAGTCCCATATGCCCCACGGAGAGAAAAAGACAAAAAAATCAAAAGATTTCCGTGGAAGGGAAAAGAATCAACATCAAACAGGTATGCCAAAAGATCAAAAGCCACACAAATATTTTGAAACAAATAGGATGGGTTTCCTGACCAGTAACTAAACCTCAACAGCAGCCGTAAAAATATAGAATCTTAGCTGCTAGTTCACAGGTAGGTGTTTCTGTTCATTGTGTTTTGTTTTGTTTCTTGAAAATCCTCCAGGGGGTCCAAAGTAGGTCAACTGGGCATCCAAACTATTGTGATTTTGTTTTAGGTCATAGTTTTGCTCTTTAACTTTGTTAAGAGAAAAAATAAGGCTAGCCATGACATAATTATGTGTCTTTCTTCACTCCGTCTTTCCATAAATACAGATAAGGCAACTGTAAAGAATGAGAGATCTCTAAAATCTCTTTTAAATTCAGGAGTCTAGTTTACAGGGCCTATTTCCTCTGGACATTGACAATTAGAATTTTCTATTGCGTACTTATCTCAATAGCAACTCAAATACAGTAGTCTCTTCATAGAAAACCAGGATATAATTTTTCAGGTTTAGAATACGTTTTTACAAGCTAAGAAAGAAATGTTGACTGGGTTTGGTGGCTCAGCCTGTCACCCCAGCACTTTGGGAGGCCGAGGCTAGTGGATTGCCTGAGTCCACAGGTTCAAGACCATCCCAGGCAAATTGGCGAGACCTCATCTCTACAATAAATAAAAAATTAGCCGGGTGTGGTAGCATGGGCCCATAGTTCCAGCTACTTGGAAGACTGCAGAAGGATTACTGGAGCCCAGCAAGTCAAGGCTGCAGTGACCGTGAGCATGCCACTGCACTCCAGCTTGGGTAATGTAATGAGACTTCAACTCAAAAGAAAAGAAAAAGAAAGAAATGTTTCCTGCAGAGGGCATTGAAGGGACAATTCCCCCAAATTTCCCCTGCCTCCCTAAAAAAAAAAAAAAACTTGGTCCCAGGGTTAGGATAACATTACAAAAGACTTATTATCACAGCCAGTTAAGGATAGTGTTTGTGCATACCTTGGCTCCAGGAACCCAGAAGTTTGTGGGGGGCTGCCAATAACAACTACTTTAATCTATAACACTGGAAGGGTTCTCTTGGGATTGGACTTCCCTCGGACTAACTAGGCAACAAAGGTTGAGAGAGCAAAAGTTCATAGGTATTAGACTTCTTAAGACAAACTCTCTCAAGAGCTTAACATGTTCAGGACAAAATATGTACTGATCAGAACTATCCACTGATCATACTGCAGGACTGGCTCGAACAAGCAGGCTTACAGGGGTTTGAGGGCCATGTTTTATCTTTTGGGACCCTCTTTATGACAAAACAACAGAAAAAGACAAAGGGAATGATTATTTCTATTAGGAAAAGGGATCAAACAATTTAAATATTACCAAAAAAACTCCAAAAACCCTAGAAAGTACATCAGAGGTGCTACACCCAAGACTAAACTTATTCATCAAGATTTTTGCAGAAGAGACAAACTGCTTGACTGGATTTCTCAAAAGAGAGGCCAGGTGCCTGACCAGCAAGAAACTCCTATCCTTCTGTTAACTTGTCAGCAAGTTTCTGCTATGTTCCAGACAAAAATGTGGTGGTATAAAGGGAAAACTGGAGTTGGAATGCCAGTCAGGGAGCAAAGAGATACAGGCTTCGCATCTTAGGGTCTGAGAGCCTTTCAGGTTTGGGGGAACACTGGTTAAGTCTTAAAATTAGTCTCCAACAAAAATGTAGAGAGATTCTCAACTGTGTTTGGAGCTTTTCAAAAGTGTCAGGTAAAGGAAAGCTTTTTATCATCTTGAGAGATCTGGACTCGTCCTTGTTTTAATTGCACATATATGCGTAGATTGTTCAATTTAGGTGCATCTCTAGGGTCAATTTTTACCTACCCTTTTATCTTTACATTTAAAATTGGAAAAACCCTTAGAGCATCTGATGTCACTTGGTCAGAAACAAAGCCTCCCTATTACCTGATGGCAGCCCTCAGAGCCTGTTAACTTAAAACCTATGTTACCCATAATACTGACATTATGAAGGTATTCCACCAAAGGCAACTGATCTCTGCACATCCCTGCAAACCAGAAGCATAAGCTTACCCCACAAAGTGTGAGTGTACCCTGAAAATAAGTAGCCATGGAGCCAAATGGGCAGGCTTCCTGAAGAAAATAAAGTCCGGAAGCCTCATTCTAAAAATGGGAGATCTTGGATCTGAAAGGGCCTACCCAATTCCTTTGCAAAACAGTTGGGAAGACAGCAGAGCTTGAGGGACGCTCATGACCACCGATGCATAGATCCAGACAGTGTGAGAAAAGACCTTGGGAAGCCACTTGGAATCTCTTCCTCATTGCAGAGAAATGTGAACTAAAGACCATCAGATCTTTGGAGGAAAAAGAGAGAGCTCTATTTTCTCTGAAACATAATCTGCAGACTCAGGAGATATTGGACTAAGGAGGTATTGGTTGGAATGCCATTGGTGTAAAATGCATTCCAGCGTGAGAGCAGAGAGTTATAAAGGCAAAAACCACAAGGCAGGGAAGGCAGTCTGGGATGTGAGAAGCAGTGTCTTGATCGGATGGCCCCCAAGTCCCAAATCACTCGTCTGTCATGATGGACTGAATCCAGGTAGCCCATGGGTTGGCGCCAGGGCATCTGTTGCTTGTCAGTTGGAGAATTCCCAGGTATAATTGTTTCCAAAAGCTGTTTGTTGACCTGGTTTCAGAAAAATGTTTTGCAACATTTTCCAGGAATACCGAGAGCGACTGCCGCCTCATCCTGCCATGGCCTGTGTGCCACTGAAAGGTGCTCACGTGTCTATTGGTTGACCGTATGTCTTCTTTTGAGAAGTGTCTATTCGTGTCTTTTGCTCACTTTTTAATGGGGCTGTTTGTTTTTTTCCCTTCGGCGCATTTGAGTTCCTTGTAGAGCCTAGATGTTAGGCCTTTGTTGGATATACAGTTGGCAAGTATTTTTTCCCATTCTGTGTGCTGTCTCCCTGCTCTCTTCATGGCTTCTTTTGCTTCGCAGAAGCTCGTCAGTTTGATGAGGTCCCACTTGTCTATCTTATTTCTTAAGGTATTGGCCTTTAGGGTTCTGAATAGGAATTGGTTCCCAGTTCCAATTTCCATACACAGCGATTTATCACAGAAACGTAGGACTGAGTTCCATATGTTCTCACTCATAAGCTGACCTTGAACAATTACAATGCTATAAGAAAGCAATTGGCAGTAGTGGGAAACTGTTGGGGGGGTGGGATTGGCAGTTGAGGGAAACTGCTAGGGGAGGAAGGGGCATACCTCGTCTACAAGGATACCTGCATGATCAATGTTTATATTCCTAACCCTGAAATGTACCCCACATCTTTATAATGAAAATTTTCAAAAAAAGAAAGGTGCTCACATTTCTACAAGGGAGTGGAAACCTTGAATGTGGTTGACAAACTTTAGCAATAAGAACACTGACTCCTCCAAGGCTTCTTTGTAAGGCAGATTAAGTTAGTGCAGAGTTCTCAAACAACGTCAGAGCTTAGAGGGAAGAAAAAGCAAAAAGGCTTCTGAGTGTACTGTGGGGACAGTGCCATCAAAACCTCTCGGTGACCCTCTGTAATCAAGTGGTTGCAGTGATACAAAATCTCATCCTCAGTGCAGAAGAAAAGAATTTTGGCCATTTCCACCTAGAATGGGAATTTCCCAGTCGTGGAAGAGTTAACTTACTAAATCAATACAAGCAAATGCAATGCCCTGGAAGAATTTCAGCCTAAAACCTCTTAGGAACAGCGAAGTTAAAGAACACTTATCAACTATTCACTCTAGGACTGGGACCATGAGGACTTCAGCTGCTTTTAGTTCAGCATTGTGACCTTTTGGCATTTCACACTGGAAGAAGAGAAAAAGATGAAGAGCAAATGTAATTATCACTGTTGTCGCTGTCGTTATTTATTGCTGACGTGTTGCCTCACTTTCCTGACAATGAGTCAGTGACTGGCCAGTCCCCGTATCTATAAAGTCACACCTCCTGCAACCTGGTTTCTCTTTCATTTTGTAGATATGGAACCCATTCACAGGGACTTTTTAAGAAGCTTGGAATTCCCGGGCCCACACCTCTGCCTTTCTTGGGAACCGTTTTGGCCTACCGCCAGGTGAGTCATTTGAGTTCCCTCCTTTGCTTCTGAAGACTGCAAGCACTAATTTGTGGGTTTTAAAAAAAATTTTTTTTATTATAAAGACGTGGGGTACAATTCAGGGTTAGGTATACAAATGCTGATTATGCAGGTACCCTTGTTGATGAGGTATGCCCCTCCCTC